TGAGCCCATCCACTTTGAATTGGCGCTTATCCATTTAATCTTGCAATCGGTCGACCCGACTTAGGAGGTCGCGACACTGAGCCTCAACACCCCTGCTCAGCTAAAGCTCATCATCCTTCCTCTTTAACGCCCCTTCCAGAGCGCTGAGCCACTCCACGGATGTGAGCAGCTCTTCATCTTTCTTTTTCAGCTCCTCTCTCAGGGTGGTCACGTCACCCCCTCGCGGAGCCTCCTCTCAGCCTCCCTACTTTTGCCTCTGCTCTCTCCAAACACTATCGATCTCCAGGATAACGACCTACACGTGAAAAAGAAAAAGAGGAAATAAGATAAGATTCAAAAGAAAACCAAAGCAGAGAGGAAAAGGAAATGTCTTACCCTGAGAGCAAGACCGGCGATACTCTTGGATAGAGTGTTATCACTCAACTCCCCGAGAGTCTGATGCTCGACATCAGAACAGAAAGGGCTGAAGGCCTGAATCACGTCCTCGGTGTTTTTAAGTAGGTCGTGATGTACCGGGATCGTTATCGTCCTTGACCCTCCCTCTACTCTCACTTCAATCTGAGTTGTCCCGCTGCCAATCATCTCATACTCTTCGAGATCGAAGTCAGAGTCAAACTCATTTCAAATGGGCTCAGCTCGCTCATCGCACTGCCCAGTGGGCATCTTGCATTTCCCCTTATCAGCCAGGGAAAATTCCTGAGCTAGTTAGGCGGACAGAACCTCCTCGCACCCGGGAAGTGCGGGATCTTTGTTAGAGGTATTCATGGTAGCCTCGTTCCCTTTTAAGCCCAAAGAAGCTGCAGCGTCGGCTTCCTCCAACCGAGGCACCTCTAGGGCTGCCCCAACACCTCCCTCGGCCAAGGTTGTCACATTATCTTGCACCTCGACCTCGGGGGAGACTTCAGATAAGACAACCATCGCTAGTACACCAGCTCCCCCATTTATTGCCCTCCTCTTTCGGGGCCTCAAGTCCGTACCGCATGGGGAAACCTCGTTATTCTCAACCTGGGAAGGAGCCGAAGGGAGAACAAATGCAGTGGTCGAACCATAGGAAGAAGTAGAAGAGGAACGACACTCCTTCTCCTGAAAGAAAGTGTCGGCACCAGATTCCTCCTGACAACCCTCCTGACCAAAAGCCGGTTTGAATGCAACATCAACTGAAGACCGATGATCCTGAATGCAACATCAACTGAAGATGACGTACTAACATTACCTCTTGAAGGGGAAGCCGGTTTGAACTTTTGCCAAAATCTAGGTCAATCTTGGTTTCCCACGGTACAAGGGAGGATCTGCCCGACCCAGTCAGAAAGATGTGACACCAACTGGAGGCTCCAAGCAGTAGCCAAGACGAGAAGAGTCAGTCAAAAAAGTCAAATATGCATGATCAATGAGATAATGTAGACAAGTAAAAGTACTAACGAGCGTGGTTCCAAGACTCCGGGAAGTACGTGACATCAACCACAACAGACTCAGTATTGACAAAAACAAAGTCGAGCCAAATCTGTCGACTAGCATTGTCGTCTGTCTTAACGATCAAGGATTTTCTTCCTCGGTGGCGAACGTTCAACATCGTGGCCTGATAGAAGTTGGGCATGTACAGATGTACAAGATGCCGCAGAGTGATCTCGACGTCGGCCAACTCGGTGAACTTAGATAGCATCTTGATTATTTTGTAAACCAAGGGCGCAAGTTGAGCCGGACAGACCCGGTAATGGCGACAGAATTCCTCCACCAAAGGGGGAAGAGGAAAAGAATAGCCGATGGTGAAGGGGTAGGGATAAGGGCGCAGTATCTTGGATGGTGAGTATACAATTAGTTGTCTTCTGCAGGTACGAGCTCCACTTGTTCGGGAATATCATATTTGGCCTTAAACTCCGACAAATGTTTCACCTTTAAAGAAGATCGAAAAGCCTCAACCACCGCCTCCGGCTGTCGTTGCAAGTCTGATTTCGCATTAGGATTGCGGGGAACTATCTCATCCATCGATGGAAGAACCTCTGCTTTAATAGTCGCGACGACGTCTCCCCCGCAGATGGAGACCGTAATAGTCAGTGGGGTGGACGGAATCTCCTCATTTATACTAGGCACATCTCAACTACGAACACTAGAAGGAGAGCTGGACATGGTTGTAAAGATATGGAATTTAGGAAGGAAGAAAGTTGAGAGAATGGAAGAGAACTTTAGAAAATGATGGGCAAGGTAAGAAGATTTGGAGAAGATGAAGATCTTGATAGCGAAAATGAATAAGGGATTCAAATAACGGTGGTCATCCACCCTTTTAAAGGAGGAACCTTAGGATTCGAAGCGACTCATCATTACGGCAGCCGCAGTCGAAATGACAGAACCAATCCTCAATCTATGCTTGTTCTAACGTAACGCATCCGGAACGGACATCATCATGATGCTTGACGTCACGTCTCAGCCACATCAGGTTCTCTCCAAAAGTCACTAGGAAAACCAAGACGGCACGAATTCGAAATATGCGGCTCTCATAATGCCATGTCGTCCGCCTTTGACGACGACCATATCCATCATTATCCACTTATCTAGTCTGTCCCTAAGGACGACTTCGACAAGCGGAGAGACTAACTGTATGGGCGAAAACTTTATTTTATGTGTTTGACCTAGTCAACGGTAATAAAGCCTTTGATGGATATGACGTGTCGATATGACTCCTAAATACCGAGGTCATATGTGAAAGATAAAGTGGTGCCGAGGTCGAAATGGCTTGGCAGAAGACGAGGACAAGGACGAGCATCCATCTTCAGTATGAAGTGATGACCAGTCTTAGGATTTAGATTCCCTAGAGAATATTCTAGTGGATATTCCCTTTTGTTGTACTATCTAAGATTTTGTGGCCCATGTACTCACCTTTTGTAAAGAATTTCATCAACATTTCCTATACAAGATTCTCGCTTTATTGAATAGAAACAAAGCTTTACTTTATACTTTTCTTCTTTTATTCTTCTCTCTCGATCCAAGAAAGATTGGAATACACGATTGCTTATCATCATCCATCATTGTCAGAAAACACATATGAGGATCTCATCCTTGTCGGGTTATCTTTGTCTCACTTACTGTTTGGAAGTCATTTATTATCATTTATTGTTCCATTATTATTTCAAGTTGTCTTCTTTAGTGTTACACATTAAAGTACTTACTGTAAAATATTAGATCTGTCCTTAAATATTGTTATTGACTATGATTAACCTAATATTTTTACTAATCTAATTGTATAAAACCGAAATCTATTTTTTGGGTCATACACAAATTGTATATGGTGGTAGCATATCATTTCCTCTTTGACATGTATAATATATAATATAATGGTTGCGATAATAATATAAACATCTAATGACTAATGCAAATCTTTAGGTGATACTGTTATTTGAAATCATTAAAAAATCTAATTTAGCATATTATATGTCTCAAAAATTTGGACAAAGTTAGATTCATGAACTTAATTAACCATTGTTTTTCAATTTATTCTATTGGTCTAGTGAGTTGCTTCACTCAACGTTATTTTTGCAAATTCACAATGGTCAATGTTATTTAACTGCTCGCACCACTTACCATGGACAGTTTTCACCATTCCTAGCTCATGGCACCATTTGTGGCACCATTATCACCCCTCCTCTTCGTCACAATTCACAAATACCACTCTTTTACTCCCTTCCCTCTCTCATATAGAGTTTTTCTTTAATTATTATCAAAAGTTCAATGACCCAAATAATTTTGATTCGCGAGCGATAGGCCAATTAAAGGGTAAAGCGTTTCCTATCACGAAGTTCTTTACTATCCTGGATCGAACCCAAAACCTTTGAGTAAGAGTACCTAAAGAGTTCAACCCATCGCGCCATACATTTTAGTAGTCTCATGTAGAGTAATCTAGCTGCTAGTATAGTCACTACTCGCTACAATAAAGCTTTCTTCTTATTAAGTACTGCAATCCAAAAATTAATGCATATTAGCTTTTAAGTAACTTCTGCAAGAGAACTTTTATCATCCACTTTAGTACTTTTCGATGAATTATTCCATTTCCAATAAAATTGAAATTATAATTGGTGAAACTAACACAAAATATGTCTACAAATATCAAAAAAGCGATTAGTATAGACCAGCTACTTCTAGCTTCTATACTGGTCTTCATAATATCATTTATCCAGCAAAATCCAGGTACCCTTCCTTTTACCCGAATTAAAATATATACTCTAATCGTCCTAAAAAGAAGAAAATACTAATAATAGCAACCCACTTGCCATAGTTGGAAAGTTGTGCATAATTTGTCTGATAAATAAAAGATTCACCTCAATCATCCAAAGCCCTAGTCATCCCCCACCCTCAAAATGTTCCACTTGGCTTTGTAAACAGTTAAGATAAATTTTCATGTCATAAAAAGTACACACTTACGAGATTTCCATGGTTAATCCTTTTACCATCCACTAACAAATATCAAGTACTATCCACTTAAGTGGATTTCCTTTTCTCTCTTTTTGTTTTTTTGTTTTTGTTTTTATACTAAAGTTCATAATGTCAAAAGGAGTTGAGTATGTTATTCTAAGGTACAAGTGTTAAAAGCATATGATACAATATTTAATACACAACAATTGCACTGACAACATTTTGAACTTTTTAAGATGGTGTGATCCAACCTTTCATTTTTTTGTAAATATACACACCACTTTTTGTAGTTGAGAATGGGTAGAAGTGGGAGTCATAGTAAGTGCTCCAAACTCACAATGCTTAATTCATATTAGGCCCAAAAAAAGGTTGGAAAAAATATAAAGATTAATACAAGAGTGTCGTCCGACCATCAATAAGATGAGTGAAATTATGATAAATCAAAATTTAAATTTCAATAAAAATAAAAAATATTAGGTGATTTAAGTCTTGAACGATAAAGTTATCTCTAAGTTAGATTAAAAAAAACGTACCAAACTTATTTTCTGCGAGCACATAAAACAAAGTGGTAGCATGAAGGGTATATTTGATTGGTCAGTGGCGTGTAGTTCCATTCCATTCCACTTGTAAACCATCCTGTTGCCGTCTCTCTCCTCTCTTTCTCTTTATCTCTCTTTCTGCTTGAAATTGTACCGACATGGCTCCTACCAAATGGGGTTTGTCTTCTTGACCGTACAATTACAGACGCCTTAATTCTCCTACTACTACTATTACTACGTATTACAACTACTTCTGGGTATGACACTCTTACTTCTTCTCCCTTCTTTTTCAAGAATATTCACTTTCTCTCTCTCTTTTCTTCTTTTGCCAATTCCTGGTTCATGCTTTACAACTCATGGATGGTTACATATTCTAATTTTTTTTGGGTCTTCATATACCGTTTCGTTCTTTTATCTGATAATTTTAGTTGTTTATGTGGTTTTTTTTTTTTTTTTTTTTTCTGTCCGTACAATGATGAAGAAACAGATCAAGCTTATTTTTAAGAAATTCTATTTTACATATAGCAAGTTTCAAGTTCTTTTTTTTTAAAAAAAAACTCTTTTTGCTAAATGCAGTAGCTTTTAATTCCATTCTGTCCTCCTTGATGATTTGTTTATTTCCGAATAAGATTATTGAATAGTGGGGTTGAGTTATATTATTTTATAAATTATGGATAAAATTCTAGAACTTCTCTTTTTATCTCGAGGAAGGCTAACTCTATTTTCCAGGGAAATTAATGAATATTGTTTGCTTTAATAATTGAGCTGCAGGAACTTCCCTTTAGATTTTCAAGAAAAAGGTGTTAATTGCTTTTGAGGTTTGCATTTATGACCATCATGCATACTCTATTTTCCTCCAAAGGAAATGAAGGGATTGTTCAGAATCCTGTTGCAACATTGTCCACTACTGTTCCTTGGTGGAGTAGTGGCCTTGTCTCTCAATCTTCATCGGCGGAACACTCTGAGTTGCCAAAGGGGAATGCAACTGAGTTCACTATTTTCTCTGGTACTTTCCTCTGCAATTTATCCTTCTTTTCTCTAATTTTTAGGATCTTTCTTGTTCATAAAATTATTGTCTTCTTATTTGGCATGTTAAGATGTACGTACTTCATTGTTTGGGCTAAAACAAACTTAATACTCCTATTTCATTTTATTTTGATATGTAAACAAACATAATATCTTATCTAAATAGTTAGTGTGCAAAAGACTTTTGATTAATTGCTTTTTTAAAAAAAAATGTTATTAATATTTTGAAAACTTAATGCTCCATTTCTTTTTAGTATTTCAACTTAATAATGTTGTTAAATTTATCTTGTTTCTTGGAGTCCAATCATTTGGTTGGTTGTTTGAGACAGAAACATGCTAGGTAAGACTTTTGAAAATTTGCTTTCATTACTTTATTTATATTGTCATTGATGTACCATTTCTTAGCCATAAAGACAAGCAGCAACCTCTTGTTTGAACATAGTAGCAATCTTTTCTTTTTCTTACTCCGTTTGAGCTTTACATTAAATGTCCACATGGGAAAAAAACAAAAGCACAATAAAGAAGGCCTTTGGTCTTATCACCAATTCTGTATGAAGTGTTTATTGTGAGAGCTTATTTCAATAGTTGTACAGTCTTTTACTTTTGACATTGCTATTTACACAAAGACATGGCAGTTTAGCTAATTAATGGCATCCTTTAATGTGTACCAAAGTTGTTAAGATCAAATAATGGCTAGACAAAAACTAATCTTTATGCAAAACTTGTACTCCCCTGTCCAATTTATGTGGCTCATTTTTTTTTAAAATTTATTTCCAAAAACTTTTTACCTTTCTACATATAAAAATAATCTAACTTTTAAATTTTCATTAATGAAATGATTTATAACACATAAATATCTATAACTTTATTAGATTACGAACTTTAAAAGTCTTTATTTCTTTTTTAAACTTTATTTTCAGTTCAATTATGCTCCATAAAACGGGATGGAGGGAGTACCTTTTTTTAGTCGTGTTATCCTTTTTTCACAACTGAATTATGTTTTTTTCAGATCCCTTGCTAATGAATCATTGACTGAACAGAATATCCAAAAGATAAATGTGCGAGTGGCTAATCTTAATTCTTATCCCGCGGAACTAATCACTAGGTTGGCTTTGGGCTATTGCATGTTGGTCATGACTCATGTCTTAATAGGCAAATTGTTCTTTGTATGATTTGCTGTTTGATAATAGGAAATTAAACTACATATACCTTTATTATTAGCGAATCATCCCGCATTTGTCTTTGATCCTAACAAAATTCTAGCATGATCTGATGATCATTCAACCAGGTCAAAATTTTGACACGTTGAATTCCGCATGTCAGAAAATGGTATAAATTTGCCGCTCTACTTTTATTTTTATTTAAGTATAATTAGAGACGCAACTAAAATTTTAAGTTTATGAATTCTGAATTCAAGAAGAACAATTTACTAAATTTTGGATAATTATTCATACATATTAAGTGGCTTTTCTTAATATGAATGTAAGATATGTGCCAAAGCTAGTAGGTTTTATCGAACCAATAAATAGAACTATAGCTTCCTATAATGGTGGGTAATTTTAAAACAAAAATAAAGGTTAGAGGTTAAATTTGGATCTTTCCTTGAAGTATTTTGACACGTAGAATCCATTATGTCAAGAGTTTGATGTGTTCAAAGCTCACCAATTTACATTGGAGCTTCATTAGGACCAAAAGCAAGTACAAGAAATAACAATGACTTGAATGTACAATGGAGGGTAATCTCAAAGCATTTCTAATAGTAAGGAGAAATTTAGATCTTTCTTTTTGATAATCAATACTTTTAAGAATGCATCTTGAAAAGAACTTGATGATCTTGCCGTTTGTACCGCGATACAGGGTTGGAAGTTATTGTTTAATAATTCATGTATTTCTTTAGGACTTTCTTTTTTGCTTATCAAAAAAAGTCACAAAGAAATTCATTAATTCTTAGGTTAGTACTTCTTATCTCCTACTCCATGAACTGAGCAGATAAAATATACTATGCATTTGGGTTGAATTTAGTTTACAAATCCAATACTCCTTTTGAACTTGATAGGCACACCAAGAATTTTTTTAAGAAACATCAATCTAAATACAACAACAACCCTGGGAGGGTAGTTTGTACGCAGACCTTACACCCCTACCCTACGGCAGAGAGGCTGTTTCCGATAGATCTTCGGCTCCCTCGCTCCAAGAACTCTCCACCTTGCTCTTGGGGTGACTCGAACTCACAACCTCTTGATTGGAAATGGAGGGTGCTCACCACTAGAGCAACCCACTCTTGTGGTGACTTAGTTAAAACATTCGCATTGTGGCCTTGTAACTTCAAATTTTGAAATCCAATTCTTTCTTAATTTATGTATTATCTGACAAAACGATATTTAGTTCCAAATATGCTAGCTTGCTTTCTTTCATGAAACACTCAGTTCTTGCCCAACGTGAGATTACAATTGTTATTCCGAAAAAAGAAAACACTTATTTTAATTTTCTTCTGGTCGATAAAGTTCTTGTAACAAAATTCTTAACTTAGAATTTAATGTAAATGCAGAACTTGGCAAGAAAGAAAAAGAATTGGTAGTGCTTTTCCAATCATTAAAATAACAGACTCAATCACTAAGAATAAGCCAAAACCTTTGGGAGGACTGAGTAAACTTTTTTCGTTTTATTTAGTGAAATATTCAATTTGGGAGGATTTATCTTTTACAGCACACGTTTATAAAGAACATGTTGACAGTATCTCCTTCAGGTGATTGGAAATCTTCAGGATATGGGCAAAACCAATCAAACATTCAGGCTGTTGCTAATATGGACTATCGAGGTCAATTTGAGCTAGGGTTTGGTCAGTCCCTGGTAAAAGATTTCATCATAAAATCTCATATGTCATCACTAAATCTCAATTTTTGTGCTTACTCGTTCTGTTTATTTGATGTGTTCTTATATGTTGTAGATTTCTGCAAAATATCCTTACGGAGGAGAGCAATCCGTCGGATTATTTTCAGCTTATGGTCCTCAACTTTCGGTACTGCTTCTTTCTGATAGCACCAATTTCCAATCACTAGAGTTATGATGGTTTGGTGTTATATGCTTTCTTCGGAATTAGTTGTAGTCCTAAAAATGAAATAACATTGTTACTGTAGACATTTCTGCGTTGCTGTTCCATAACTTACTTTGATGGAGTAACAAACTTCAGCTTTGTAAGATCTTTTCAAACTTACAATGGTAATCAATATTAACTATGTGACAGTATGTGATCATATTTCCATCATTGATAAAATTGCCCAAATTTTGTTTAGCACATCGTATGTAAGCGTGGTTGGACTCTTTAATGTGGTGGATTTGGAAAAGTTGCCAAAATTCTTCTTTCTGCTTGACTAAGAAGAAGGTTGACAATGTTTTTTGAAAGACACTAGAAAGTTCAAGAAATCTTGATTTATGCCCATTGATTTCGCAAGTTAGTTGGATCAATTGATTGATAAAGAGCAAAGTAATGTCCTTGGGTCTCATATTCGCTTCTTTTAACTGAATGTCTGTAGAAGCATGTAAATGCTGGTTGGGCTAAGATGTTTCCCAGATGGCACTGTAAGTTGGGCACTAATGTTGACCAATGGGTGTAACTTTTAACATCTGATATAATTGGTATGATGAAGTTTGTTCTCACAAATAGAGATGTTATAATGTGCCTCATGTGTAGAAGAAGCCACCTCTGTAGACATTCCATAATCTGAGAGTTTGAAGAAAATTGGTCCAATTTTTCACCTCAGTATTTCTTTTGGCTGAAGAGATACATCTCATACTTGTAAGCAGTTAAATAGATGAAAGTGCGTAAGAAGTCGCTCCACTGTATTTATACATTCCCAGCAAACAGATTCTACCATCCAATGTTGGAGGATAAGACTTTTAAAAGAGAAGTGTTTCCATTTCGCTCAACTACAGTCGGTCTTTTTGGGGTTTTTGTGAATTGTCCCCCTATTATGTACTTGCAAACAAAGGATTTAGCTTTTTATCTCTTTCACTTAAATTTTTGTGGTCATGACCTTGCCGCGTTCTGAGTCAGTAGAGAGGAGAGCCCTTTAAATACCTCTCGAGCATGCAACAAGAATTTTAATTGCTAAAATTTATCTGTGTCAGTTTAGCTATTTGATATGAGAAATCTTCCTTTACCAGCGCAATGTACAAAACTCAACAGTGAATGGGGCACAAACTCTTTATGTGAATATGGTGAGTCAAATTACAGCTACTTGCCCTACCTTAAAAACTAATCATTCATGATGAAATTTAGGGTGCTTTAGACGAGAATGGGTTACTTGTTAATAGAGGAGATGAACTCAACTGTAAGGAGTTATGGAAGTCAAAGCATTCTATGACTTGATTCATTTGCCTTACTGTATGAAAACGTACTTACCTTTTGTATTGAAGTAAAGAGTACCTGTTTTAGTTGGGGTAGTACAGCGTTTGGCGAAATACTTTATTAGATAAAAGGCATCAAAAATTGAAAGATTGATAATTTTATTTTGCAAAGAAACATTATTGGAATCACATTTGTCGCCCGTTGAGTTGAATTTGGAAAGAAAATTTTGCTTCCAAATTCATTCTCAAAATGTTTGCTTCCAAATTGTCACAACTGATAGGGCATAGCTATTTCTTTGGAACTATGGGTGAGATCCTCTAATTATTCGCTAATGACAATTCCCGGGCCACCATCTTGACGAGAACTGTCGTTTTGATCAAAGTATTTTCTTTATCCAGAAAATATTATCCTTATTTGTTGGTGACCTCTTCCTCATTGCCCCGGCGAGCTCTACTTAAGTTAATTATAAGTTTTCAATTGTTTTGGTAGAACACTAGGAAAATGGTCATGTTATATATGGTGTGTCACAGATACTGAACATTCAGCTGGTAAGCCAGTTTGATTCAGATGGAATTGTATTGCTTTTATCTGCTATCTTCACAGTATATTATGTTGTCACTATGTTTGATTCTGAATAAATATCAAAGTAGAATAAATGACAACCAAGTTCATTTGCTATATTATCATTTCTCTATAATTAAAGGAGTATAATATGTTGTGTCATTCTGTTCAAATGGTATTTTATTTTGCATCATAACCTTGTAATGAAGGTATTCTTATACTAATTAGCAAAGGAGTAAAGAAGAAGAGACTGGGATTATTCACCCATTGCGTCAAGTATAGTGGGAGAAGTGGTAAAGGATAAATATCTCTGGAGGAAAGTTTTCACCGTTCTTGAAAACATTGGAAGGGTAACTTGTCAACTGATTGAACTTATTTTCCTGGATTAATTCAGAGAATCATCTTACAGCAGTAGCAGTTTCAAATAGTTGGCACAATTATGGAATAACAAATTAAAAGGTGGAACCTGAAATTTGTTTCGAGTTAATGCACAATTACTGGTAGATATGCAGTAACGGAAAACACGTCTTCTGATAAAATGTAATTGATCATGTACCTAGGCAACGTAGTTGGCAATTGTAGTGTAATTTATTTTTAACTCCCATTTGTGCTTCATTTCTGTAGATCTCCCTTAGTCATGCATATTGTATCAGACTCCTTCATACTGAATAATTTTGAGGCTCTGATATTCATAGAGTTCACTTCTCAAACATTCCAGGGCCGTGTTATGCTGCCGTTGAATTTGGCCTCTGATGAAGGCCCGATATTCGTAAACGCCAAGCAGTATCATGGGATACTGAGGCGTCGTAAGTCCCGGGCTAAGGAAATGGAGAAAAAAGCTCTTAAACCACGCAAGGTAATGTTTTATTTCTACGATCATGGACAGTGGATCTACATATAATCATGATATTTTATTTAATCTTCATCAACTATTTTAACTTGCAAGACCACCACGCATAATATGCATGATACAATTATATGAAAGGAAGTTTTTAAATGAAGAGCAGCAGTCCTGGCTTCTGATACAAAATTTTAGCCAACAGTTACCTCTCTATTCATAAGCCTGTGGGCAGTAGCACGGAAGCAAAAATTCTTTGCGAAATGGGTCAGATATTTATTCTGTGTTCAGTCTTCAAAATTTCACAAGCTATGGATTTTTCAAGTAGTACTCTAACTCTTGACCACATTCCTTGTCAATGTTGGGGTTGCTAAGTTTGCATTCACAGATGACATTCAGATTTTCGTCAAAAGCATGTGTAAACAATGTGGTTGCTGAATTTTCCACTGCTTAATGCTTACAGCCATACTTGCACCTCTCTCGCCATCTCCATGCAATGCGCCGACCTAGGGGCTGTGGTGGCCGCTTCTTGAACACGAGGAAAATGAATGGAACTATGAAAGGTGGAAAAACCACAGATACAGTTAAGACGGGTGACGTTTACAGTTTTTACCCCATTGGATCCCAGAATTCTGAAGTGCTGCAGTCTGATAGTAGCAATTTGAGCTCACCTAAAGAAACAACTGGCAGCAGGCTCTGCCATTCATCAGAGGTCACTAACATGTACTCTAGGAGAAATCTTGATCCTTTTCCATTTCAGGACCTGAGGCCTTCGGTCCAGCCAATACCTGACATGATGAATACTGGACATGGTATTCTCATGGCCGGTAAGTGGGTTTCAGCAGCAGATAGCTGCTGCAACCTCAAAGTTTGATAGCCTTGGCTGAGAACGGGGTTAGGTGTCACAAGTTGTTCCTAACCTCGTCCTTGCTGCAACCTAATGCAAATTCATCGGAATTTGATCTTACCAGCATTTGGTTGCTTGAAGGCAGTCATCCTTGGCTATCAATGGGGCAGTTCATCCTTGGCTAGCGTTAAGGCTGCCTCTTATCATTCTATTGCTATCGAGCAACATGGATGGTAAGAGGCGCTCCTTAATGCACTTTAATTTTCAGCATTTGTAGGATAAATAAACATCTTTTGGATAAGATGATGAAGACCCTGTCAATCGGGGCTGTGATGTTGCAATGTGTTTGGATTACTGTTGTGATTTTTGTTTGTGAAAATACAGTGATGCATGATTGAACTTGATCCAGATAATGTGCAAATTGGTGTGTTTTCAGACTGGGACAAGTTAAATGTTTATACTGTATTTTGTACATTGGTAGGGTAGATTTTGATATGTTTGCAACTGTCATGTCATTCATTGTTACCTTCTCATGATGCACTTTGAAGAACACTAATCTTTGACATATCTCGTGAGCTTCTATCTTTTGTTGGCTGCCATTCATTTAGGATCCTTAGAAACTGTTCATTGCCCTTGTTTTTTTAACCCTTTATTCGTCCATCAACCAGACTTATTCGCCCAGATATGCATACGATGGCCTTATTATCAGCACAGTCTACTCGCACCAAGCCCCAACAAAGTCTATGATTTTTCTACTAGTATTCTAGAGGTAATCTTTGTATTGTTGTACAAGTTGGAGTACAATGTTTGAGATGGTAGATTGATCAATTTTTTTCCTCTTTTAAGATTTAGTTTTAGCATTTCAAAATTATACTCCTTTTTTCACTTTTAGATAATTTAGCTAAAATGTTTTAGGTGTTTTTCCTCCAAATGTTTCAAACATTTAATGAAATACTACTGCTTAATTAAAGGGCGAGTTTGCTAGGCACTACGTGTAATTTGTTGTGAAGCAGGACGTTAGCCTCAAGGTACAGGACTGCTAGGACATGAGCGTTTGTTTGTTATCTATATATCTATATTATTATAAAAGCATGAATACAATGTCAGTTTACAAAAATAACCTTATAATATTAAACATGATAACTTATAATAAAAGGATATAACCGGAATTCTAGATATTAGTCTTATAATCCTATTAGTTTTAGGACATAATACTACACATTAGAAATCTTATATGATTACCTTTAGGAATCCTATTAGTATAATTAGTTTCGGGCGGTTTAATTCATATAAAATTGAACAAGTAAATATCTTTAGTCATGTAATCACATTACTTTTAGGATATACTTCTTAAAAATTTCTATTACTAATTTAATTCGAGAATGTATTATAATGTCCTATTACTAATTTAATTTGAGAATGTATTATATTGTCCAAATCTATTTAGAAAAAGGAGAGTCTATTTTATTATAAAAGCATAAATACAATATTAATATACCAAAATAGCCCTAAAATATTAAGCGGAAGAACTCATAGGGCTTCATAACTGTAATAACCTATTTTTGGACTACAATACCTTCTTTGCTAATTTTTAATATTTAAAATTTTAAAATTAATAAAATTTTGTCTATTAAATTCTTATTAAAAATATGTAGGAATGTTTAATAAAATTAATTTCATAAGAATCCTCCGTATTGGCAATATATTATCACTCCATAATGTCTAATACCAAAAAAATAATATTAAATGGACTGCATAAAGAGTTGAAATTGAGAAAAAAAATACTCCCATAATAATATATTTTTATACTCCCTCCGTTTCAATTTATGTGAACCTATTTGATTGGGCACGGAGTTTAAGAAAAGAGAGAAGACTTTTGAACTTATGGTGTAAAATAAGGCACATATTTTGTGTGGCTATAAATCATTGTATAATGATAAATTATTTCCAAATAGGAAAAATGGTCATTCTTTTTGGCACGGACTAAAAAGAAAATAGGTTCACATAAATTGAAACGGAGGTAGTATTATATTTAAACTATTTTCCTACTCAAACAATATTTTTAATCAATTTTTCGTGTAATATTAAAAAATACCCAATTATTAAACAACAACTAAAAAAATATTTAAGAATATAAATGTGTGAGAAAGAGAAAAAAAATGGTTGGTAAGAGTCAATACCACTAATGATTCTTCAAACATAAAGATCTAAAAGTGAAATGTCATATCAATCTTTTACTCTTTGAAAATAAAATTTATAGTGGATAAAATTATAATTAAGATTAAATATTCAAAATAAGAGATGAACTAATATTAAGATCTGAATCAACATAGAATAAATTATTTTTTATGTTAAAATCAAATAATTAAATTTTTAATTAATTATTTAGCAAGAGAATCCAATTCAATTATTTTTTAATTCATCATATGAGTTAAATTCTTATTCAAAGTTAAAAAAAATCTTAGGATACATAAATGTATTACATAAAAAGAGCGTTAGAACACAAAGTAAAAAGGTTAGTATATTATTAAGAATCAAAGTGCTATACAAGTGACTAAGGAAGCACAATCAAAGCTAAATCCTAATCAAGAATAAGCTTTCAAGATTATATTATAAAGAGTCGACTCTGGTATAATGGGATTATTCTTTGTAGATGCCTCATACGGAATCGAAATAATATTTCTATGTCATGCATTACTTGCAATATCATATTAAGAGGCATGAAACTGTTAGCAATAATAGCAAGTGGTGTACCAACAACGATTTTATTGTGAGGCCACCCACTTTAGATTTGATATACCTCTTCAAACAACTTAAATAACCATCACAAATATATCAAAGCAGAGCAATGGTGCTAAATTTATAAGAAAAGCAAAATTGATAATATGGGATGAAGCACTTATGGCAAAGTGTCAAACGATCGAAATAATTGTCCGGGGCACTTATTAATGAACTGTTTGGTGGAAAATTAATGGTTTGTGAGGTGATTTCTATTAAGTACTACCAGTAGTTCCAATATCGACAAAAGCAGAGACTGTAAAAGCTAACTTGCCAAAGTTATACTTCTGCCTCAAATGAAAAAGATTCAACTAACAAAAAATATAAAGTAAGAACACATCCAGTATTCGATGTCTTTTTGCTTTGTGTCGGAAACGAAGAAGAGCATTCAATAAAAGATGATTTGATTTTTCTTGAATACTTGGTTATCAATCCCAATTGTAATAATAATACATTTAATAAGAGAAATATTTCTATCATTAGATTAAAACGCAATTTGTGCAAATCACATGATAGAATTAAAAAGATATTTTAGCTAGAAGAAATGGATATGTTGATCAACTAAATAAAAGATTAATTTATTATAATAAAAATAAAATATTTTTCAGTTTCTGACTCAGTAGAAAATGATACCAATAATTACTACCAACAAGAATACTTAAATACTTTAATACCAAATGGCCTTCTACCATACATATTTGTTGTCAAGTTTATTATTTCTTACATATGTTAGTGTCACCGTATATATAATAGACTAAGTTAAAATTGAACTTCTATTGTATATAGGTTAATTTTGAAAAATATTATGCCCGTCATGCTACTGAAAAACTTAGATACACAGAATAGCTTATGTAATAGCACACATATGATATATAGAAGTTTTGACAATAACGTCATACATGCAAAAAATATGATACTAGTCAATGTGCTTCTAAGTATATTCTAATCCCTGAATTGAACTTTCGTCTTCCGAAACTAAGGAATATCCTTTTAAATTTGTGTGAAAATAATTTTTAGTATGTTTATTTTTTGCAAATATAACAAATAAAGCACAAGGACAAACATCCTGAATATTAAACTATATTTACCGCAATATATTTTCTTGCACCAACAAACGTATATTGCACTTTCAAGAGGGATATCGAGAACAACAACAACAATTTTGGTTAAGGTTGAGCAACCAAAGCATTAGGAGGAAACATACACAAAAATTATATTGTCCACAAAGAAGTATTCGTTAAGATGCCATCACATTAAATACTTTTACACTATAATACATAATTATCTAACTAACACGACAAAATTTATCATTTGTGTAAATTTTGATGATGTCCTTTTATTTTAAATTCATGTATTATGCTAATGTAAAAGATTATTGTATCATTATACATGAAATGTTTCCAATTAATTAATTTGTTTTGTTCCTTCATAGAAATAAATGTTTGAATCATCACGTGTCATTATTAACGTGCAAAGCACGTTTATAGATACTAGTTATTATAAAATCATGAATAAAATGTTGGATTACAAAAATAACCTTTTAATATTAAGCATAATAACTCACAATAACAGGACATAATCAGAATTCTAGACATTAGCCTTGTAATCCTATTAGTTTTAGGACATAATACTACACGTTAGGATTTCTACATGATTATCTTTAGGAATCCTATTAGTATAATTATTTTCGGGCATAGATATTATCCTTGTAATCCTATTACTCTTAGGATATACTTTTGAAGAAATTCCATTACTTATTTAATTTGAAAACGTATTATATTGTCCAAATCCATTTAAAAACAGGAGAGCCTATATATTATTATAAAAGCACGAATATAATATTGATAGACCAAAATAACCCTAAAATATTAAACAGAAGAACTCTTAGGAAAATGACATAGCTGTAATAACTTATTTTTTTGGACTATAATAAATTAAATGTTTTTTTTTAATATTTAAAATTTTAAAATTAATATAATTTTGTCTATTGAATTCTTATTAAAAATATGTAGGAATGTTTAATAAAATCAATTTTATAAGAATCCTCCATATTGGTAATACATTACCACTCTATAATATTCAATACCAAAAAAATTAAAAGTAATGGTAAACGGATTGCATAAGTCTTTGAAATTAAGAAAACAATCCCCAAGATAATATATTATTATATTATATTTGAACTGTTTTTCTACTCAAATAATAATTTTTTATTATTAATTTTTCGTGTAATATATAAAAATAAACAACTAAGTAAATTCTTATTATAGAACAACTAAAAATATGTAGGAATGTTTAATACAATCTTGTCTATTGAATTCTTATTAAAAATATGTAGGAATGTTTAATAAAATCAATTTCATAAGAATCCTCCATATTGGTAATACACTACCACTTTATAATATTCAATACCAAGAAAAATAAAAGTAATGCTAAACAGATTGCATAAATCTTTGAAATTAAGAAAACAATCCCCAAGATAATATATTATTATATTATATTTGAACTGTTTTCCTATCCAAATAATATTTTTTTATTATTAATTTTTCGTGTAATATATAAAACTATACCCAATTATTAAAGAACAACTAAGAAAATTTTTAAGAATATAAATGTGTGAGAAAAGAAATAAAAAGGTTGGTAAGAGCCAATACCACTAATGATTTTGCAATCATAAAGATCTAAAAGTGGAATGTC